CCCAACCGCTGCCTTCCAGATGATGCTTCCCGGTCCTGGCAGGGGTGGGGGTCAGGCTGCCGAGGGCTCCAGTTTACAAAGGTGGAAACTGAGTTCCCATGAGGGGATTGGACTCGTCTGAGGCTGCACAGTCAGGCGGCAAAAGTACAGGGAGAAAACGGGTTTCCCTAGGTCATTCCGGGCCTTGCCGAGGGGGAAGACAGTCTCCCTTCTTCTCAAATGTGCCCCCATCTTCCCGACCCCAAATTAATTCCTTTTCCTTCCTGCATCAAGACAGCGAGGGCTCCATCAGCCCCCGACCTCCCTGGGGTCACCCGGAGCCTCTCGCTCACGCCTCGCGGTTCTTCCCATCTCCCAAATGAACCCACTTCTGTCCACGCTCAGCCAGTGTCAGATGGGGCCTCATCTTCTCCTGACTGGATCACTCCTAACAGTATCTTCCCCAATCTCCCTGACTCCAGCTTGTCAGCTAATAACCAGTCCTTCACATTAGATGTCAGGGACTCTCTAAAAAACAATTCTGATCACGGCTTGCCCCCCGCTTCCGGTCCTGCGGTAACTCTCCTCTCCCTCATCGCTCTCCTCAGCCCCTCAGGACCTTGTCCTCGCCTCGTCTCTTACTTTTCTCGCCTGTGTATTTTTCACGCCAGGAATGACAGCACCCAGCGCACGTGGTGCCGGATGACCGGCCTGTTCCCGGCACTGTTACAACACTCCCTAGATGTGTGAACGCGTTTAATTTTCATGACAATCACAGAAGGGGAAGTACTAGCGTCGTTCCCGTTTTGCAGATGAGGAAACCGAAGCACAAAAGTTGAGGTAACGAGACCTGGATCTGCGTCCGGACCTGGCTCGAGAGCCTGAGCACGTCATCTCGATGTCACGAGGTCCCTCCAATCACACCCACCGCTTGCCTGGCCCCAGACATTCCACACGTGTCTCCTCACGCCTGCACGCTCTCCCCAGGTTGTCCCTTCTGCCTGGCAGGGCTCCCCGCTCCACTGTCTTCCAAAATCCCTCCCCCTACAGTCTTCCCAGACAGCTTCCTCTGACTCTGTCCCCTCCTTGAGGCTTTGAGATGGGGGGGCAGGCGGAGGGGAGGTCCTGGACTCGGCTAAGTCACTAAGTCACCCTGGCAACCAGGACAACACTTAGCATGAAGGAAGCCCCGAGAAACGCTGGCCGAATGACTTACCCCCAAGTCCGCCTTTCCCATCGGCGGCGTGGAGCTTGAGCAAGGCCTTGGCCACGGCGATGCTTCTCTGCAGGTAGTGGATGTAGTGCAGCACGTGCAGCAGAATCTCCTTCTGCCCCCCAAGAGAGAGACGGGGTTACGCACAGGGGTAGGGGCCCAAGATGACATGTTTCTGCTGGAGATCAGGGACAGAAGGGCCCCGGGACCCCGTCGCCCACCCCAGCAGTTCCTCCGGCACAGAGCCTGACCCGTTAGTTGCCTAATGAATGCTTCGTTGATGATGGGACGAGAACAGCTTTACCAGGTTTTCAAGGGATTAAATGAAAACCTTTCCTAAAAGGGCTTTTCCAGAGCAGATACAGTCTTTTAAGCTTAGTATCTCCCACACCAAGCCTTGGCACATAGTCAGCAATCACTGTGCTGAAGTCTTTGTAAACTGTAATGTAACATAAAATGTTACTAGTAGAAAGGTCTTTTGCAGAAGGCAGTTGGGCATCATCTCCGATTTCAGGACAGAAGGCTCGGTAATTGAAACTTCGGGAAGGTTAGCTTGGGGGCTGCACCACAGGTTCAAATACCAGAGATGGGAGGGTGAGATGGGCAGGGCCTGCAACTGCCTCAACAGAGAGAATTCATTCATTCATTCGTTCCACAAATATCTACTGAGCATTCACTGACAAAGTGGTCAAGGGTGTGGGCCTTTGGAGAGAGACACATCTGACTCCCACTCTGCCACTAGCTGGCTGTGTCCCTGTGGGTAATATGACCCCTCTGAGTTTCAGTTTCCTCAAACCAAAAAATGAGCATTCCCATATGCATCTCAAAAGGGATGTGGGGAGGGTTAAATGAGAAAATGTGTATAGAACACTCAGCACTCCTAGTCACCTTCAGTAAATTGGGAACAATTTTTATTGTTATCGGCTCTACGCTAGGCCCTGCGGGCACCGGGGATAGAGATTTATCCATTATGGTCCTTGTCATCTCAGAATTCATCTAAAGTGGGCCAGAGATAAGGTAACAATCACAGTAATATGCTGGGGGCTTTGCTGCTCAGAGGGAGAAGAAGCCACAGCATCATATAGGGCAGGGGCAGTTAATCAGCCAGAATGGCAGGGAAGGGTGCCACAGATCCGAGCCGCACCCCGTCACAAGCACGGGAGGCCACACGTAATAGTTCCGTTAGTTCACTGAGCAGCGGACTGAGCAGGTCCCACAGCCCTGGAAGAGTTGCGATGATGCACTTCAGCCTGGGGACTGACAGGGACGCAGGCTGTATGTGGAGCAGAGGGCCCAGGACTGAACTTAAGGCAGAATGAAGATGGGGAAGAAGAGGGATCATTCAGACAGTGGAGAATCAATGGTAAAGAGAGTGGCCTGGGGAGAATTCCATGAGATGTGGTCATCTGGTCAGTGACGAAACGATGCCTGTCCCCTGACTAGACTGTCATTCCTCCAGGGCAGGGACTGTGTCCCAGACATCTCTGCTCGCTCTGCCAAAAGTTTATGACAGCACCTAGCACCCCAAATACTCAAATGTTTGAGGACAGAAGGTAAAATTTCTCAAATACTTTTGAGAACCTGTAGTGGTCTGTATAATGTCTCTCCCCAGAGATGTCCATGTCCTAATTTCCTCTCAGAGAGAGAACCGACATTTATTCGGGGCCTGTCACAGCTATTAGGTCATTTTAGCCTCACAATATCTCTGGCTAGGAAGAGATCTCTTTCCTCCTTTTATAGCTGAGAAACCCAAGGCTTGAGAAGCTGATAAGGGGAGCATCCTGCCCCGAGTTCTGCGGCTGTGGAGCTGGAAGGCTCAAACTCATGGCTGTCTGACTCCCAAAGCAATGCCCTTCGCCTGGCTCCTTGCCTATTTCCCCCTCCCAGTTCCCCGGGTCTCCTTTGCAAGAAAGAAGCCCACAGCCTTCTACTCGCGGGCTCACAGGAATTCCCATTCAGAGCAGGATTGACCATACCCATCGCAGTGCTGTCACCGAAGGGGTCTGTCTCGCTTCTTGCCATTTTAAGACCTGCCTCCCAAATCCACCTCCTCTCCTTCAGTCCCCTTACCTTGGTGAGCTTCCTGCCACCTGCCTTCAGGCCCACAGGTAGCAGCAATGCCAGCTCATGGAGTTTGCTGGTGTGGTTTTTCCTCTGCTTCCTGTTTTGGGATAAGAGCTGGTTTTGGTTGGGACATCCAAAATGGAATTTGGCATCTGACTCCCAAACCTCCTGCCTTGGTGTTCCCCCGCCTCGGGCACCCAAGGCACGGTCCCCAGCATCATCTGGACATTATCACTTATCTCCTTATCCAATCGGTCACCAAATCTTGCCCATTCCTCCCCTGCATCCCCACGGCTCTTGCCCTAGTCTACGTACTGACATCCTCATAGGCTTCCCGGCCTCCCTGCTAGCCTCCTCCAATCCATACTCTCTAGTAGAGTCAGAGTCATCTTTCTGAAATACGAATCTGACCACACTTTTCTCAACTGTGCGATGGTAGTGAGGATATTCATTCTGGCTCAGAGGATTATCAATAGGACTAAAATAAATTAGTGTCTGTGAAATCGCTCAGCACAGAACCTGAGACATTAGTTGCCTGATAAGTGCTTTGAACCTCTCAATGCCATTCCATTATTAAAGATCGTGTTTAAACCCTCATCATGGCTTATAGTGCCCCTCACGGCCCGGCCCAGCTGACCATCTGGCCTCGTCTCTTACTTCCTTTGGTTCTCTCACATAGCCTGACCCCTAACTCCAAAGGACAGGTGAGGTACCTCTGCTAAGGTCCCCCTGGGCTCATGTATTTCTCTGATCCCTGCACTGGCCTGAGAGCTGGGTGGGGGGCACCATTGTATCTCCGGCACCTAGAACAAGGTCTGCCACATTGTGGGAACTTACTGTATATTTGCCAAATGAATGAATAAATAAGGGCATGAAAACAGTTGACTTCTGGGCAGATGATGAACTTCCGGGATCTAATCCCTGAATTCATAATTCATAATATACCCGTGCACGCACACCTCCACCCTCTCTCATGACAGATGGAGACACAAAGATGTTGAAGCCTCTCTCCCAAATGACACGCCACTGCCACTGCTCCTGCCACTCCTTCGAGAATGCCCAAACGCCTCCATCTCCACCAATCCTTAGCTTGTGGTCCTTCAGGGCCCAGGTCAATCACCACCTGCCCCAGCAAGCCTCCCCAACCTCCCTTGCCTTCCTGCCAGGCCCTGTGCCGGATACCGTGGAAACAGAGACGTGGAAACAGAGAGAAATCACATCCTCAAAGAGATGGGGGAGCGGTGTGGAGACATACATCTCTTTATCTAAACTCTGACATCTTGAAAGAATCTTTCTCACTCATTCATTCGGCAATTACTTATTGAGCACCTACTCTGTACCAGGAACTGTGATAGGAGAGAGGGATAAAAGTATAAAAAACAAATACGGCCCCTTCTAGAGCCCACAGTATACTCGGGGATAAAGTTGTTAATCAAATTGTCACACGAACAAACATAAAATTGCAACAAGGGTCAGAACCAGCTACGTAATTTGCTGGGGAGGGGTACTACTGATGAAAATGTGGGGCCCTTTGTTCAAAACTTGAGACTTCAAGATGGTGAGAGCAGAGCATCAAACTCTTCTAAATACAGGACAGTGTGACTGCGTGGGTCACATGCCCACAAAGTTGACCCTGATAGAGACAAAGGAGAGATGTTGCTTGATGTCATGGAAGCTTGTAATAGGCGGATTTGGCCCAACCGATGAGGTCTTCTCTGAGGAAGTAAACCTGGCCAGAACCTGTTCTGAAGGATTAATGGAATGCATAGGCGAAGATGGAAAGAGCACATTTCAGATAGAGGGAACTCGTGCAAAGGTCCTGTGGCATGAGGGAGCATGGAGAATTAAAAAGAAAGAAAGCTGGGGTGTCTATAGCACAGAAAGCAAGGAGTCCTGTAGGGTGAGACGAGGCTGGAGATGCGAGCCAGATGAGCCCCGTAGGTTCACAGTACAGAAGAGTTTTGTCTTTTTCCTGAGACCACTGGGAAGCCATTAAAGGGCTTCAGACAGGAGATGACATCATTAGTTCATCCCCTCAAAACCACTGTGAACACAGAAGACTGAATGAAGGAACGGAAGAGGAAAAATCACCAATTTGTCTCCTGGTAGAAAACATACTTTGAGGGGCAAGGGTTCTGGGGTTCTCTCCTTGGAGAAAAATTGGGTAGGCTGGCCTCTAAAGTCCTGTCTAGCCCTGATATTTACTTTTTTGCATACTACTTTCCTTTTGTTCTAGAGAAGCCCCGGTGACAAACAATATAGAAAGCAAGGAAGAAAAAGTGTCCAGCTCTGTTTAAGGTCAAGGCGTTATTTGACTACGTCTGAGAAGAAGGGTTTCTTATCAACCGTAGTCCCTGGATGTTTACTCAGGGTTTTGCAAAGCACCAACAGAGCCTTCTGTGCAAACGGAGAAGTTCCAGAAGAAAATTCTGGAGAGAACAAAAGGGCGACTAAAAATCACAATATCTTGGCATGTCCTGGGCGGCAGTCCTGAACGGGTGCAACCTGGGGTCTGCTCACAGGGGCCTCTGGGAGCCAGGAACACCATCCTAAGTCTGCCCCTGTCCTTGCTGGGCTGTTCTGGTTTTAGCCAAGTTCTTTCCTCACAGTCTTTACGCTTTTCACCCTCTAATCCCAGCTCTGCCCTCTCGGTCTGCCAGGAACAAGTCAGCTCCAGCCACATGGGTCCCTTATTTGTTTCTCTAAACTGCCAAGTTTATTTCTGCCTTAGGGTCTTCAGTATTCCCTCTACCTGGAAGGTTCTTTTGCCTTGATTTTTGCAAGGCTGGCTTCTTTGCCACTCACCACTTAGCTTAAATTAACCTCTTCAGAGGCCTTTCTTGACCACTTAATCTAAATAAACATGTTCTCTGTCACATCTCCATATCATTTATCAGCATCTGAAATCTTTTTCTTCCTTCCTTCCTTCCTTGCTTTATTATAAACTCCACAAGGGGAGGGATTTTATCTTTTTCATTTGTTGTTTTATGACAAGCTGACTTGTCCATTAGGCATAGTAAGCACAGTGCTTAGGGCCCGTGATACTTTTAAGGGCTTATGAAAATATTTTAATTTCTTTTAAAATAAGAAAAAAATGGATATAACCAACTTAGATTATATTCATCTTCATACCAATGCTGTTATTGACTACAATTTTTAATTTTCTTTTTTTTTATGGAAGAAGGGGCCCAAGAAGGCAAAATTGCCTAGGGCCCGTGAAAATCATAACGTGGCCCTGGCTGTATCCCAAGCTCCTAAAATAATGCCTGGTATTTAGTGGATGCTCAATAAAAGATTGTTGAATTAATGAATGCTCATTCTGTCTTGTGATGGCCTCTCAGGCTTTGAAATGACAAATGACTCTAATTCCCGGGTTTCCTCTTCCGTGAGCTGATCAGCCTAAATGCTCCCTAGTACCTTTATTTCATGGGAGTTGGAAGGAGCCTTCACCAAGAACCAGTCCAAATTTCTCATATTTAGTATGGGAAAACCAAGGCCTGGTTCCCAATGTGCTTTGACATGCACAGAAACTTAAGAGTTAGAACTTCCCCAAAGTGGGACAGATCGGGGAGCAGTCCCAAAAGGCAGCAGAATAGTTGGTTATAAGCTCCAGCTTTTGAACCAGACAGACCTAAATCAAAATTCCAGCTCTGCCACTTGCTGTGTGACTTTAGGCAAGTACTTTTATCTCTCTGAGCTTGTTTTTAACTCATTTATAAAATGCATGTGGCTAGGAAGTTTGATCTTGTCAGGAATGTTTAACATAGTACCTGGCACATAGGGAGCGCTCACAAAATGTTAGTTCAAGACAGAAGATAGACAGTCATTTGTCAGAATGATTTAAGGATAAGGGATACTGGAGAATGGGGCGGAGCTATTGTATGACTATGCTTGATAAAACTGTTGCTTTGGGTTGACCAACATCCAATCCCCCCTTTTCTGGTAATAGTTTCCTTTGGGGAACTATCCGTCTCGTACTCTCAGTCCACGTGGTTCAGAGAGGCTAATGCCAACCTCTCCTTCCACTAGGGAGCATAAAAGCAAGGTCCACTCAAGAAGAGTCACAGTGATTGGTTCAGCATTGGGGTTGTAACCCAGGTTTGGCCAATTACAAGTCAATGGATTCTGGTACAAGACTCTGTGCTGGGTTTGTCAAGTTAGCAAGGTGTGGACTTGGAGCTGCTGGGAGCCACCTTGGCCTCGCTAGGAGGAGAGCCTGCTTGAGAAGGAAGCCAACACCAGGCAATAGCAGAGCTGAGAGAGGCACATCCCTGGCAACATCGTTTGACCCCCATCTGGAACCAGCCAAGCCTGATGCCCCTGAATGTTTTTGTTTTAAGGATCCAATAAATCTCCTTTTGTGCTTAAGCTGGTTTCAGGTTGGTTTCTATTAATTTCAACTAAGAGTCTTTACTAATTTAAGAACCCTACATCTAGAAAGGAGGAAAAGAGATGCATTGCTGGTGACTTCTGGGATTCCAGAAGGAATGGGCAGCAGGACAGGCATTCTTCCTTTTCTTCATGGTGCTCCTGAGCACAGCACCTAAGTGGAGAATCTCGACAAAGTAGACACTTATTTTTGGAGTTAATAAATGAATGAAGAGATGAATTGACAGAAAGTCATGGGGCAGGGTGGGGGACAGTAGGGGATAAGATGAATTCTGGCTATTTTTTTTGTTATCCAGACTTTGGAGGGAGAGAGAAACCTGATCCAGCTCTCCATCTGCTGTGAAAATCTCCTCTTGTAAGATGCCTGGCATTTGGTAGGTGTTTGATGGATAAATGAATGTGAATAAAAGAAAGGAAGGAAGAGTATTTAAGACACTTGGAATGCCAAAGCCTGTAAAGGTTTTGTGAAACACCTCACGGTTCTCTCCTCTTGAAAATGGTGGCTATAGTCACATCTACTTCCTTGTGGAGCCATTAGGATTAAAAGATATCATACAAACAAAAGGTTTAGCAAAGAATCTGACAAAACAGAAAGTGCTCAGTAAACATTATTGTTATTATTATTTGACCAGAGTGGCTGGAGCTGTAAGAGAAATAGGGGTCGGGGGCGGAGCCCTTACCTGTCACTGGAACCCAGGGAACTGGCTCTGGGCCATCCAGGGTAACACAAATATCTGCTGGAACCCCACATCTGCAAAGTGGGGAAAAGAAAGACTTATTAGTGACCTCTGAGATTCTGGGAGAAATGAACAGCATGATAGGCAGGCTTCATTTTCCCTTTGGTGCTCCTTTGAGCACTAGAGATCCCAAAATGGAGTCCCCAAGCCTCACGAATATGGGCCCAGAGACCAAATTAAAACCTCAAAACTACACTGAAGTCTATGAATCCCAAATTATAAATTTGGGCCCCTAAGTCATGATCCAGACCTAAAACTAAAGATTCCCAAAAACTGACTTTAGAATTTCAGTCTTAATAGTGAGATGGCAGACCTTGAAATGGGGAACACCAGGCCCGAAAACTGTGGCTTGAGCTCTCTAAACTGATATCGAGACACTAAAACAATGACTTTAAACTCAAAAAAGAGGACCTAGAACCCATAAAGGAGCCCTTCCAAACCTAGGAACCCTAAATTCTAATACTGAGATACCCTAGACCCCTCAACTGTCAACTTACGATACCCGATTATGACCCCAATCCTAATATTGAGATCACAGACCACAAACCTTAGCACTGAGAACCCAAATCCTAAGGTAAGAAATCTAGGCCCCTCTAAAGCAAACCTCAGCTCCCCAGTTGATCTCATATCCTAAAATAAAGACTTGAAGAACCTCAGACTGTCATTTCAGACCCTCAAGTCGTGACCCCAACCTTAAAATGAAGATCTCATATATGAGTCCCGCTCTGACATCGACTCTAAAATTGAAGCTCCATACTCCCCTGGACTCCAGGCTGTAAAACTTAATTCTTGAGGTCCCAAACTGACTCCAGACCTCATATTCTGCATTGAGATTTTAGATCCTAAAACTATAATCAGACCCTGGGCCCCTGAAATGATACTCCAGAACTCAAAACAACGATTTTCAGATCCCCAAATAAGGATCCAACGGGAAAGCTTCAAGTCATGAAACCCAAGACCTTCAGATTCCAAAACTAGTTATATCCAGACACAAATCCTGAGACCCCCCATTTCCTACCTTGAGCTTCCAGGTCCCCAATGCTATTCAAACAGAGCCTTCCAGGATCTCAAACTTGAGCCCAGATCCCAAAACCTGGGCCAGGCCTCAAACCCAGACTCGGCCCTCCTGCCCCGTTCCTGCCTCACCCGCAACCCTGCACCCCGGGTACGCTCGCCTTTGTCCCCCTGGGACCCTCAGAGGGAGGCCACGGCCACAAAGTGCCGCTTCTGAGTGGACCTCAGGCTCCCCTCTGGCCGGTAGAGTCGGTCAGTTCCCCACCCCGATTTTCCTCGGCCTCCAGCACCCGCCTCAAGACGTGCAAAATGGCGTGAGGCCACCCTTCTGGTTTCTTGCCAGTCCCACACTTGGGAGCTCGATCACACAGCGTCTCCCGCCGGTCCAAGGAGGATGGCGGCGCGTGCGGACTCCAGGCCAAGCTCGGTCACCACGTTCCCAACCCGGGCGTGGAGTGGGCGCGAATCCCCTGGGTGTGAGGCTCCTGAGTGAGGCCTGAGGAGAAGAGCAAGAGTGCGCTCCCGAAGCCTGACCACGCCCCCACCAGTTCCCGCCAAGTGTGCTGGGAGCGAGACTGGAAATGGGAAAGGGCAGGGTGCAAGTGGCCGTGCGCACGCGCGCCTGCGGAATGGCCCTGTCTTCTAGCACAGCGCGAGCTCGGCCTCGTGCCTCCTGACACAGCTCTTGCTGGTGCGCGCCAAAGTGCCAACCAATCCGCGCTCGCTCAGCTGCCCGCCTTTTCGGCGGGCCACGCCCACCTGACCACGCCCTCGGACGATTCCCCGGGTTACTGGGCCCGCTAGTTACTAACGAGGAGGCGGGATCTTCCCAACTGCCAACCTTCCAGAAGAGAGATCTGGCCAGTCTCCCTTCAGGCCCCTCAGGTGTCCCTTTTTCCTTCAGCGTATGGCTAACGTGTGCCAAGCACCATGCTGGAAGTTGGGAATTTAGCCACAGTCTTTCCAGTGCAGTCTGGAAGGCCCACAGACCATGAGAATCTAGCGAGGCAGGGGTTGCGGTTAAAGATTCAAAGAGGAAGGCCATCGGAATTGTGCCTTGGCAGTTCCCCTCACAAAGATGTATGCGCCTTGATACAGCAAACTCTCCATTTTAAAAAGCTCGTTCTCATGGTCTGTGAGGAGGATGGACTGGAAAATATAGCTTAAAAGGTGATCTAGAGACCTCGTGGGGAGAGCAGCGGCCCTGGTGTCCAACACATTTCAGTTCCAATCATTCTTGCTGTGTTGCCATGGAGAAGAGGCTTAATCACTTGTCTTAATTTGTAAATTTGGAATGATTCTTACTAAGGTTGTCCGCAGGGTGTCTGGCATAAATGTAGCATGCGATATTTACTCAGCACTTATTTACGCTGTCCTGGGTGCCTGAACAAGATACACAAAGATGCCTGTCCTCGTGGAGCTTCTGCTCAGAGAATGGATGGGAAAGTGAGAAAGTACAAGTCACTGTTAATCATTGTGTTAATCAGTTTAAATAAAACGTTAAACTTGCTCTTTCCTAACTCTCCACCCCTCACAAATGCTCCTTTGCAATTTTCTCAACTCCCATTCCAAGGGCCCCCGGCCAAAATGGAGGAGGCTGGACTCCATCTCCCAGCGCGCCAGGCGGGGGCGCTCTTTGCGCCTGCGCTGCCGAGCGCCCAGTCTCCCTCCAGGGAGTTTGAGTCGTCCTTTTCCAAAGCCCGCCCAGTTTGCTTCCATCCCCACCGCCAAACTTGGCCGTGCTGCCTTCTGGGAGGTGTAGTCCGTGGCTGCCTGGACTCCAATTCCCAGCGGGCTTCGGGGCGGGAACCCGGAAGGGGAGGTTGGAGAGGAGCGAGTGGGGGAAACCCGCGTAGCCGAAGGAGCTGCGGCGCAGGGAGATGGTGAGAACCCAGAGCGGGGGCCGGGGGCGCTTGAGAGCCGGGGCGGAGGTTCGGGACCGGGTGGCGAGAGGCAAGAGGCGGGGGCCAAAGAAGGGGCTAGACGAGGGGAAATCGCTTGGGGGAGGGGGTTGAGAAGAATGAGAGCCGGAGGGAATAGTAAAAGAATGGGGGCTGGGGACGGGTCTTGGAGGTGGGGAGGGAGTCGAGCTTTGGAATTGATTGTAGGGAGCTCGGAGTTGGGGAAGGGGGTTCCGAGTTGCAGAAGGGGCTAGGCGTCCAGGCAGAGGCCCTGAAAGGGGCAATTTTAAGAGGTTTAGCTTGGGGGATATGCAAGGCATGGGGGTCAGGGCTAGATGAATGAAGGGGTCTGGAGGCTTCGAGCGAGAGGCCAGTTGTGGATGCGGTGAATTGGGGCCTCTGGACCAGACCGGGGACAGGAGAGCAAGTTGAGATGGTGGGAGAGAGGAATCAATGGTAGAGTGGTGTGTAGATTAGGGTCCAGGACCGGGTGAGATGGGGAGTTTGAGATTAGGGGCCGGGATGTAGTGATAGTTTTTGCCTAGTCCAGCCAGAGACTCCTGATAAACCGGACAGTCCCAGAACTGTAAGATAACATGGCCAGAGGGCCCGTAGAGACAACCTTTTGAACGCTCATTTCTCCAGTGGGGTTTAGAAAAGAGTAGTGGTTTATGTGTCCGGGCAGTCCAGCGTTCAGATCTCCTGTTCCGCCACTCCTTTGTGACCTGGGCAAGTCTCCACTCTCTGAAACTCAGTGCCCTTATCTGTATTGTGGGAATAGCAAGGCACCAAGAGGAGGGGAGGCGCCGGAAGATTGTTGCCCTGGCTGGCAATCAGTCTTCCGTCTCAGAGTTGTTGGTGGCAAGTTCCCCACCCCAGGAATGCGACTAGGTCACAGGTGCTAATAGATTCCCTCCTTTTCAGTTCAGCCCCAGGGGTGTTTTCCCAAAACCTGGCACTGATCTGGGCACACCCCAGGTCAGAAGCATGCAGTCGTTATGGCTAACACTTACTGTTTAGGAAGTGCCTGGCCCTGTTCTTAGCTGTTGTGAGTATTAACTCATTTAATTCTGAAAACCCTCCTAAGGTGTAGATGCTGTTATTATCTCCATTCTGTAGAAAGGAAGCAGAGGCACAGAGAAGTTAAGCAATTTTCCAAAGGTTGTCCAGCATTAAATGGTAGACTCAGGATTCCAACTTAGGCATCTTGGCTCAGAATCTGTGCTTTCACCGCTATAATTTAGTCTCTTCTCCTTGTACTGAAGTACAGTGTCATGAGTAGAATTATGAGTGGGACAGAGACTCCAGAACTGAAGCAGTCTTCAGTTTGAATTTTAGTTCTGCCATTTTCGTGCTGTGTGACCTTGAACAAGTCTTTCGTCCTCTCCTCGACTATAAAATAGGATGAGTAACCCTAGGACGGTTAGAAGGTTCTCGAAGGTAAGCACGCAAAGTGCTCGGAGTAAGTGCTCAGTACATGAGAGTTGTTTTTTAACGTGAATGGGAAGCAGACCCGAGGGAGGTGAGTGAGACATCAGCCAGGTGGCCTCCATTCCTTTCGCTCCCAGGTCGCTCTACTTATCCCGACTCTTCTAGTTCCCCAGCTTCTAACCCCTGGGCTCCCAAGTGCACGGATGGCTCTCCAAGGGGGTGCTCAGAAACTCAATCTGTCCCCATTCCCATTCCCATCCCCAGCTAAATATAAATAATTCACTTGCCAATGCCCAGCCTGGCCTAACTCCAGGTATTCCAGTGAATAGGAAATATTTCTAACAACTACTTGTCGTTTCTCCCCCGACTTTCCCAAGGGCGGCCTTTTGGTCAGTAGGGCCTTGCTGGGCAGATGCGCAACTTTGTAATTCATCTTGATTCATTTGTTGTGCGGCTTCCTGAGTATCACAAAAGTTCTCTGACTCTGATAGGAAAGCACTGGCGTCAGGCCCAGGTTCGAACCCCCACCTCTGCCGCTGTGTCCTTGGCCAAGTTGCATTCCCACTCCCGGCCTCAGTTTTCTCATGTAAAATGGGGCCACGTTCCAACCAATAAGGCTCTCGTAAGGAGTTGATGAGGTAACATATATAAAATCCCCAGTGCTTATAAAGCCCTCGATAAGTGCAAATTCTTTTAGTGATTTTGATTTCAAGCAAAATTTATTGAGCCGTGTGCTCTAGAACCAGAATACCCAGATTTGAATCCTGGCTCAGTCACCTACCAGTGTGTGACTTTGGGCGGATCACTTAACCCTTTTGGACCTCAGTTTCCTCTTCTGGAAAATGCGGGTTTATTCCTTGAGTAGTCCACAGTGTCCGTAGAGCACCTACTGTGCGCCAGTGCCTGTACCAGCTGCAGGCTGACATCCTGCCCTTGGAGAACTCACTGTTGTCCCAATGCTGGTAGTGTTTGTGCTCATTTTCAGTTTGGGGGTTTTTCTCTCACTGATTCATTTTCAGCCCCTCATGCCAGCTTTGCCTGCGCGTCATCATTTTCATGGCTTTTTAACCATTTTTCACTAGCTTTTATCTGAAATCATATTGGTTTGGGGAAAAGTTGTCAACCTCTCACTCATCCTTGTACCCGTATGTCACATCGGAGCACCCCGGGGTGATGTGACGCTTTTTTTCCCCTTTTATTTATTTGTCTTAGAAAATATGTCTGCTTTCCAAGTCATTTTGCCTTTTCTTAAAATCTCAAATGTATTTTCAACCTCTGCTTGTCTGAAGCTTACTCAGACGAGATGATATTTTTACCATTTTTAATGGTGTTATTTCTAGCAGTTGTGGTAAAGCCGTATTATTCCTAAAAGCACAGGTTTTCTATAAAAGGCTTGGCCCGTCACCTGCTCTGTGATGTCATCCTGACCCCATCATTCAGATCATAACCTCTCCCTCCATGTGCTCCTGATCCCTCTTACTTGCTGTTCGTTTCCCATAGCACTCACCACCTTGAAACTTACTAGATATGTATTGTCCCTCTCCCCCATTAGGATATCAGCCCCATGAGGACAAGGATTTCTTTCTTCTTTGCCCTGCATATCCCCAGTGCTTGGAACAGTGCCTTGCACAGAGTAGCTACTCTATAAATATCTGTTCAATTAATAAGTGAGACCCAATACCGAACCGTAACAAAGGAGTGGCCATAATTTGGCTATTGTAAGGGACTAGGATCAATTTAATTTCAGTACGTGAAATAAAGAGGGAAGAAGGCTTTGGCCCGGTCTGTGATTTCCAAACTCTTAAGTAGCCTCACTTTTTCTTAATAATCCCAGCATCTGAATAGTGAGCCTTTCTTCAGTGCCTAGTTGGCACTGAGCGCTCTCCTGGGTTGTATCTCAGTGACTGTTCAACCAGCCTGTGGGTGGATGCTGTTACCTGCATTTTACAGTGGGGGAAACTGAAACGTGGAGGGTGAGCACACTGCCTGAGGTCACACCCCCAGAAGTGGGCGAGCTGGGGTGCTGGCAGGCCCTGCCTAGATTCCATCTGCATCTTGGATCTCTAGATCCCGACAAGTTGGATTTAGATGATTCCTCCCATTACGGAGCTTTTAGTCAGAAAAATTTGCCAGGGAGAAAGACCAGCAGACCCTGAGGCCAAAAAGCCGAGAAAAGGGGACGGATGGGTGAGGATCGTGGACATATGGTGGCAGGGTGGGCGATGTGGAACAGAAGGAGCAGGACCAGGAATAGGGCCTTGGTGTCCTGCTACCAATTCCTTTGTGACTGTGGGCAAGCGTCTTCCCTGAGCACCTGCTCTGTGCCCAGCCCTGTCCTGGACATGACCCAGACAGCCTCAACCCTGGGATGGAGGCGCCCCAAGGTGGGGGGAGGTGTGTTACCTGAGTCAGCATAGGGGATCGGACGTCTGGTTTTTTTTTTTTGTCATTTCCTTCCTTCTTTCTTTGGTTTGTTGTTGTTGATGTTTCAGACGGCTTAAGTTGTACGCTTATCTTGTTAATTGTCAACCTTTCTCTGGTCTTTGTGCCTTTATGGAGACAGGTTCGCCCTAGACCTGCCACACAGCTGTCCTAGCACTTTGTTTACCTTCACCTGGGGATGCCTTTTGCCTCCCTTCTGAGCTAGATCTTATTTCCCTGATCTGATCCCTGCCTTTTTCTTGGTTTACTCCTTCATTTTATAGAAGCAAATCTTCTAGTTGCTTTCTGAGAAAGGGTTCATGGACGTGTCTTTGTTTTTTTGCAAACTTGCACTTCTTGGAAGGGTTTTAAGCAGGAGAGTGGGAGGGTCTCATTCGTGATTGGAAAGCTCCCGCGGGCTAGGATGGAGCGGGGAGAGCTAAACTAGCCCAGTTAGCCAGGTGTGGAGGCTGGAGCAGCTGCGCTTTGGAGGAGGAGGGGTCCCAGCCTTCCAGAAACCACAGGTTGAGGGATGAGAAGCCTTTACCCAGGTCATTGTCATTCAGCAATGACAGGTGACAAGTGCTGCAAGAAGAGGCCTCAGGAGGCCACCAGGACAGCTCCTGGAAGAGGTGGCATGCTGCTTCGGTCCTGGGAGCAGGATTTCCCCAGGTGGACTTGGCTGAAATCAGTCGGCTTTTTCTAACAGGTCCCCAGTATCAAATGTGCTAAAGGCAGAAAGCATGGCTTTATGAGGCATTTATTCAGTCAAACAAATATGCGTTGCACACCTACCGTGTGCTAAGGCATTGCTTCTCAAACTTAAATGTGCCTGCAGTTGCCCTGGAGACCTTGCTGAAGATCACGTTCTGATTCAGCAGGTGTGGGCTGGAGCCTGAGAGCGCCTTTCTAACACACTCCCAGGGGCTGCTGCCCCGGGACCACCCGTAGGGTGGCCAAGTGCTCGGTGCTGTTCTAAAATCTGGGGATACACCACTGACGAAACTAGACAAAAATACCAGCCTTGGAGGAGCTTTCGTTTTAGTGAAGGGAGACTGACAATAAACTTTATAAACAAAGTTTACAGTATATTCGAAGGTAATGTGTGCTAAGGAGAAAAATAATCGAGAAGGAGAGGGAACGGTGTGTCTGCCTGTGGTGGGGCTGCAGTTTGAGATCAAGGAAGGTCTCGTGCAGTTGATTTCTGAGCAAAACCCAGAGGAAGTGAGGGGGCAAGACTGTGGGTACCTGGGAAGAGCATTCTGGGCAGAGGGAACAGAGAGCGCGAATGCCTTGAGGACTGAACAAGATGTCCTTGCAAAGAGCTCGGTATACTCAGTGAATGAGGCTGCTAGTGGATCATGCACTTGTGCTCTGCAGGCAGCCAAGCTCGTGTGATTCAAAGCTCTGCCTCAAGCTGCGTTCAAAGCCAATTACTTAGCCGTTTTATATCTCTATTTCCTAATCTTTGACATCAGATTAAAAATAGTGAGATGTGAGAATTGAACGAGTTAATATGTATAGAGCACTTAGAGCAAAGCCTGGCTCACAGTGAGTGCTCAAGTGTTAACTGCTCTTGTGATCATTTTCTCTCTAATATATGCATGTTGGTCATGACTGTTTATTTGGATGTCTGCCCCCTTTCCCATGAGCTCTTCCTGGTGAGCTCAGTGTCATCTCTGTGTCCCCAGCGCCCAACCCAGGGCCAGCGTGCATGAGGACCTCTGAATGTCAGACTAGGGATGTGAAATGTGGATTCTCTAATTGTTGAGGGCATTCCATCAAGGGTATTGATTATGTAGTTCGGGTCCTTACTAATTTTATCATTTCAACCGATCTCTATGGAGAGAGATGTTAAGGTTTCCCGTTACAGTTGTGAATGTGCCCAACTCTCTTTGTCATCTTGTTTTCTTGCTGTACATATTTTGAGGCCATAGTATTAGGACACTTGTTGAGAACTTTTTTGTTTAATGGGTCAGTTTGTTTTGTCACTCTCTTTGTCCCTAATAATACCTTTTGCTTTTGCCGGTTTTTTGTTTTTTTGTTTTTTGTTTTTTTTAAGTGGCAATATCACTCAGCTTGTCTCTTGGTTCATATTTGCCTGGTCAGTTTTGTTTTGTTTTGGGTTTTTTGTTTTTTTGTTTTTTGTTTTTTTTTAAGTGGCAATATCACTCAACTTGTCTCTTGGTTCATATTTGCCTGGTCAGTTGTGTTTTGTTTTTTTTTTTTTCATCTTTTTACTTGCAGTCTATCTGCGTTGTGATGTTTTACAATAAGTGGATCTTCATGGAGCATTCTCTGAAAGCCGACCTAATGTAGAACCTCTTTCTGGGCTCAGCGTGTGAGGAGTTAGAAGATTCTGCCCCAGTGACCCCGCTGGCTAGGACACAGACAGAACCTGGGTGTGAAATAGAGTTTACACTGCCAAGGCCTCATGAAGTTTAGGACCTGGAGCCTCGGGGAAGAGAGATTTGATATATCCAGTCCCATGCTGGGCAGTGCTAATGGGGACACCATGATGACCATGAAAGTTCTGGCCCTTCCTCTCTCCCCTGGGGGGTTTATGATCCAGTAGAGGAGACAGATCCATCCTTAGACACTGATGACTCAGAGTGGGCAGGGCTGGGACAAGGGAACTGTTCCAGGTGAGTGGCTTCCAGGAAGAGGGCTCAGGGAAAGCCTCCCCTTTAAAGTTATATTTGAGCAAAGACCAGAATAAAACAAAGAGTCGAACCATGTGGAGATTGGGGTGGTGGGGGGACATTTTAGTTAAGGGGAACAGCAAATGCAAAGAACATGGAAGGGAAGAGCTAGGTGGCTCCGAGGAATAGAAAGCAAGGAGTTCAGGGTGGGAGCCCAGAGGTGGAGCCTGACCCAGTTTGGTGGCTTAGCTTCTTGGAGGAGGGCATGGCTGAGCAGAGACCTCAGAATATGTAGTGAAACAATAGAGCTCAGTGATCTGGGATCAGATTCCCAGGGTTCGCATCCCTGCTCTAAGTCACACAGGCTGTGTGTGACCTTGGGCTGGTTAGGCAACCTCTCCTGCTTCATTTTCTTCATCCATACAATGGAGATGATAATAGCTCCTACTGAGGATCAGACGGGCCTAGTAGTCTAACTACTCTCTATGCCAGATCAGGTGCCCACCTGGGTGCACTGGGGGTGTGGAGTGAAGAGGGAGGGATGAAGCCAAACCGGTGAGGTACCTGGGCTTTTCCCCAAGGGCACTGGGGGGTCATGGCAGGTTTTGGACAGGGTCAGGTTTATGCTTTAAGAAGATCCTTCTGGCTGTGATGTGCGGGGTGGTTGGAAGCA